CTGCAAGAAAACTGGACAGAGACATATGAAAACATAAAATAAGAATATGCGCACTTAACAGGCGAGATGTGATAAAACAATCAAGTTAAAAAAAAAAAAAAAGACAACAGCAGAAAGCAGCAGAGCAACAGAAAGGGAACATGATGAGCTAAGGAATCTTCCCTAAGCCAGCACCACTGTTCGCAGAACATAACCTTCCTTTCAAATTACAAGTGCTACTTTTACTTCTCCATTTGACTGAAAGAAAACATACTAAGCATAAACTGAACCGGATTACTCAGGAAGAGTCTGCAGACAGTGCAAGCACCTCCTGTGGCTAGCTGCCTTGTCAAGATACAGATGGAAGAATATCACTATGGTCTACATCCTCCTGGCAACCATTAGGAAAGCCTTAGGTGGCAGACAAACTATTCATCGAGATCTCTTCTCAGGTAAAGAACAGCTTTATCATAATGGCAGTATTAACTAGTAGAGCTGAAATGTTTGGACAATAATCAGGACTGTATCATATGCTGTCAGCTCCTGAGAAGGCTTGAAGACAGAAGAAAAAAAATAATTTCCTTTCCTATTTCCAGAACAAAGAAGAGACACTGAAAGTTTGAATACTTATTTGCATATGATTAAGCAACTATTAAGTTCTAATGCAAAAGCAGATGCTGGGAAATGCCAAGGATCAGCAAAGCTTGAACTGAAGCATGTTGCTGCTGTCAGAAGTCACCTGCCTCCCAACTGTGTACTCCCACCACTTACTACAGCTCAGCTGCTTCTCCGATTACAAAGTAAGGCACTTCAGATCATAAAAATGGCAAACAACTACATCTCCTCCCCTCCAAAGAGAAATTTTTTTGGCCAGGCTGAAAAGTTGAATCAGCTTACTTTGCCATATGAATGCCAGCAGCAGCCAGGAGAGGAGTTGCCCAGGGACAGGTAAGCCTAGGAGACACATCCTTCACCCTCTGCAAGCAGGTTTTAATTGCAAACCACATCCTGGGGGTACTGCTCCACAGACAGCTGAACCCATGTGGTGACTCCCTGCTTCTCTACCACTCTCCCCGCTCCCCTCCTGCCTGGCTTCCCCCTCCCTTTTTGCTAGTGATTGCCTCTTTAACACATTAAAATTGCAGGAAACTATTTTTATTTTGCCACAGTTCTGCTGCTCCAGAATTTGGAGCACAGGGGCCAAGAAAAACGCTGGAGGAGGCAATGGTAAGCAACAGTGCAACGACATGATGAGCAAGGAGAAAGCATAGGAATGGGAGGAGGAAGCAGGAACTCAAGCTCACTGCATTTCAGTTGCTCTCAAGCAGGTTTGCTCTCAGTTGCTTTCAGCTTGAGAGCTGAAAGGACAGGACTCACCATGCTTGTAAAAACCACACCCTGAGACATCAGTTCCAAGAACTCAGTGGATTAATTTCATAAGTGGGTATTGCCTTCTGACTAAAGGCCTTTCACCTTCCTAACCTAGCAGCTCTGCCCACCCCTGTATTTGTGTGTGACAGAATATCAGACCCAGGCACAAACTTCCCTTTTCTAGACTACATGCTAAAAAGTGGCACTTTGCCGCCAAGACTTTAAAGGCTAAAAGGAGAAAAAAAGTTCACACATGCACGAGGAAGGAGTTGTGTGATTAGTAATCCAGTCTCACTCATTCATAGGAACCCAATCTCTTCCACTTAACCCAGAAATTGGAATCTTATATTATCCTTGCTATGAAACACCTCTAAAGTGAGAAGGGAACCTCTAAGAATGGCAATCCCCACCCCACAGGGCACGCACACTGTGCCCAAAGCAACAAGACAAGTACCGGACTGAAAAGAAAAAATTTCTCAAGCCCCAGTCAGGAGTACCAAAGCCTTGCATAATTCTTATGTAAACACAAACTCCGAAGGAAAAGCTCGACCCACTCCTTCACCAGAGACCACTGCCGGGAGAGGAGGCCACGGGAGGAGGCGGGAACAGCCGTTGGGTGCCGCAACCCCCCGCAGACACCCCCACGACCTCACAAACGCCACCGAACAGCCTCTTCCTTATGCACGTTGCCTGGGGAGCGGCCACGCCAGAGACAAGCCGCGCACAGGGCGGCCCGCGGGAACTGGCGGGACAACCCAGGCACCACCGGAGTGGCGCTGGGACAACCCCGCGGGGACGCGCCCGGCCGCACACACCGCTCGTTCCCGGGGCGGAGGAGGCGACCCCGGCCGCCGCCACCACTCACCGCGGCTCGCACCAGCGCCGCCATGGGTCCTCGGCG